ATCAGAGAAGTAGGTCCGGCCCACTCAGACCCGGCAGGGCTCAGATCAGACCCGACAGGGCTCGGGTCAGGTCCGGCCTGACCTTAAACTTGGTGAGGTGGGTCACGAACCTGAACTGGCCCGGCCCGCGCACACCCCTACTATCAGATTGTCCAGTCCTCTTATACTCATTAGTAACTCGTTGCCATTGCCTCAGTGTGAAGTGGCCTCCATTATTCTCTTCTTCAAGGACGATTTCCTTCAATATTCCCAGTAAACAAAGATCTTCCACGGAAGACCAGTTCTTCGCCCCACCTCCTGACCGCCTCCAAATTGAGGCCGTCCCACCGTCGTAGAGGGGGATCATATGAAATCCCAGTAGCTAAATGGCCCATATTCCTCACGTCCTTCTTAGCCATTCTAGACAATTAAATGAGAATTATAAAAAAATTTAGTAAATATTACTTTTAAACTATACTATTCTTGTACGTTAACTAATAGCGCAGTCTAATACAAATTTACTTGGAAAGGTGGATGTGAACCAAAGAAGGCAAAATTCATTTATGAAAATAGAATAACAGACATTACAAAATCTGCCACTTAGGCAAGGCACATATATAGTGAAGGACAATTACTCTGTGCCTTCATTCAAATTAGCTAGAAAAATTTTGACGTTATGTATTCAAGGTAAAATATTGAGTTGACGGACAACCGAAATAAGACTAGATGATCAAATGGCTTGTTGGTTAATATTGTACTAGTGTGAACACCACCATGCAAAGTATGACATATTTTTTTTCTCGCTACAGTAATCTCGGTTTTAATAACAATGTTTTTTAAAACTTTTTTAAATTTCTACAGTATCACGTTGCTGCTATAGTATTCTTGTGTGCTACAGTAATTTTTTTTCTACAGTAAATATTACTATAGTATGAATAATGAATCTTGGAGTCTCTCATTTGTATAGAGGAGCAGATGTTGCTTCCTTTCATGTTTAAGCTCTCAGATAGTGTGCTATCTTTGCCACCTAAATGTGGATGGAGTGTTACTAAATATTCAAGTAAATAGATAATAATAAATACAATTCAAAATTTGTGTCTAGTTCCAATCACTTCTGCTCGTGAGCTTCAGCTGCTGCGTAGGCATACGATCCAGGGGAAATCCCAGAATTGCTCTGTACTCGGTGAAATCTCAAAACGAAGTTTAGAATTAATTCTCCTCAGTAAATAGAATAAATCGCTTGACATAAAACCTATCAATTATAACATGATATTGGATGGACATAACTTGCTACTGGTTGGACCCAAAAAAACTTCCGGAGTCCTAAAGTTTTAAAAATGATATCATAATATACCGGAAAAAATGCTCTAAATTATGAAATTATAGACTGAGATCAAATGAAACAAGATTCACTGCCTTGACAACATAGAAAAAGATTCCTTAAATTGCATGATTCTAAAATGGGAAGGGGAAAAAAGAAAATCTGTAAACCAAATGACTGCTAGAGATATCCACGCAGACATTTTAAGTTTTGTTTTTTCAACCAGATAAAAATAACAGATGATCTTATTTTCCATGGGAACTCAGGCCAGATGAAGCACTGTGATGTGGTCATAGCTGCTAAGTTTACCACGTTATAATCATCATATGCTCTCTTTGATGCTCAGCTTAAGTAAACGGTTGTCGATATTTTCAAACAGATTTACAGGCAGTGCAAATAGTCATGGCAATTCAATTGAAAAAAAAAATTTAACCCAAAAGTGAAAAACCAAATAAAAATAACAGATGAAAGCCGGCATTTTAAGTTTGTTTTTTCAACCAGATAAAAATAACAGATGATCTTATTTTCCATGGGAACTCAGGCAAGATAAAGCACTGTGATGTGGTCATAGCTGCTAAGTTTACCACGTTATAATCATCATGTGCTCTCTTTGATGCTCAGCTTAAGTAAACGGTTGTCGATATTTTCAAACAGATTTACAGGCAGTGCAAATAGTCATGGCAATTCAATTGAAAAAAAAAAATTAACCCAAAAGTGAAAAACCAAAAACTAAGAGATTAATTATCACAAAATTGATAAACCTACCCAAACCATAAATCACTAATCCGTACATTGAAGCAGAAAAAAACATGGAATCGCTGAAAGATAAAAACATGAGATTGCCGATCAAACACGAGAAATAGCAGAATTAAATAATTTTTTTTTTAAAAGCAAAGCACGAGTACTCCTAAAACAATTATCGCCGCTGCCTTAGTAATCGCTTGTTCGGCCGCCTCCTCGTGTGGAATTGCTAACCCGTCGTTAGACCGGTTAAAACATCACGTGAGGGTTCGTTAACCCGTCAGGGCGTTTTGTTGTTTGGGGGGCTAATGGGGGTTTAAACACCTTAAGCCCTCCATTAACCCTTTGCCAAACGGGGTCTTAACTAACAAGCAGAGACCAGACTAGATACTAAAACATGACAGATTTGTGAAAGCTCAATCTCCTCTTCTGCGTTCCTAAAGATTGCACATTATGGAAAAGTGGCATGTTTATGACAAAATGAAGATGGAGGGAATTCACCTCGCCAGTAGTTTTTCATGCAGATGGAGCATTTCATTTAACAGTAGGCACTGAAATGCACATATTAATCTTAAAATACACGTATACACATTAGGAGCATTAAATGAATCATCTACTTATTTTCTCATAATGAACAACAAAAAATTGCAGTATAACACTACGACTTTCATGTATAACTACTTCTCCACCCTTGAGGAAGTCTCCACCTCTTATGCCAATAAATTGACACTCTAGACCACAATGGAAACCCAAAGTTATACTCCAAAGGCTCATCAGCTAATCCCCCAACAATCAATGGCAACCACACATACCTTGAATCCCTCAAATCCGAAGGATTCCAGCGATCCGCCATAAATATAAAAGATCCAGACAAACCAGGGATTGGCAGAACAAACGTACTCTGAGCAAAGAACGTTGTCATCCTAAAAATATTATTTCCTCCAACACAAGGATTCCCCAACCTCTCCCATGGACCCATGATTGAGTCTGCAGCATGTGCCAGAGCTTCGTTTGGGGCCCACCCCGTGCACCACGAAGTGATCATATAGTAAATCCCTTCATGCTTAAAAAGTGCAGGAGCTTCTCTATGCTGACCTACGAGAATCCTTCTGACTACATTTGAGACATCAAGATAATTATCAGTTAGAGGACTGACATGGAGCTCACTATTATGTACAGAGGAGTAGATAATGTAGGCTTTGCCATCATCATCCTTGAAGACAGTCATATCCCTGCTTTCGAAGCTATGGGGTTGTTTGCTGTAGAGATAGTGAAAGGGTCCTGTTGGAGAGTCTGAAATGGCAACACCAACAGAGGCCTTGGTGTAATTGACATTATCGATATGCATCCACATGATATATTGTTTCGTGAGGTTGTTGTATAATACTTTAGGCCTCTCGAGGACGTTGGACTTGTGAAGGTCATGGGTGACGTTTGTTTCTTCACACGGAAGTACAATGCCCTCATTCTTCCAAGTCCATAGATCCTTGGAGGAGTAGCAGCTGACTCCAATTATGTCAACCTGATGTTATCAGCAATTACAGAGTTACAAGTTTCAGAAAATATGAGAAATCATTAAGAAAACAGAAGAGGCCAAGATAACTAGTGTACATGATAGAAATAATGTGGAATAAAGGAGTAATATTGTTTTGTATCAGATGTTTCTTTTTTTTTTTTTTTGGGGGGGG